CCCCCCCCCCTGTTGCTTTTCCTCCCGCCGTCGCCGTCAGGCTCCGTCTGGGTCTGGCGGGCCGGCGGGCTCCTGCACAGGGACGCCTCCGCACCCCTCCTCCTCCGCCCGCGCCGTGGGGCGCGCGCCCGCCCCTCCGCGTCCCCTCGGGATGCACGCCCACCGCTCGGGCACGCGCCCCGCTCCGCCGCCCGCCTCTCCGCTCTGTGTCCGCGAAGCGCCCTTGCTCTACGCCTTGGAGGTCCCCCAGGACCCTGCCCGCTGGCCCTCGGGGAATCCGGACACCTGCTCCAGTCCGTGGGCTCGGCCCGTTTCCGGTCAGCGCCCGAGTCCCCGGCCTCGCGAGCCGCGTCCTGGAGGACCTTCGCCGCGGTCCACGCCCTTGACCCCCGCGACCCACCCCGGTGCCCCCAGCACTGCACCTGGGCAGGCTCGGCCGCGCGAAGTATTACATTGTAGATGAAGGCAGAAGCAGGCGAGGGGAGGACCTCGGGCGTTGTCGAGGTTGGGAGTGGCAGACAGGTGGGCGCTCTGGGCAGGGCACGCCTGATGCCCAAGTCCTGAGCTCACTTGAGGGTAGAGGATTGCTAAAACCCTGTGCTCGGGCTGGGGGGAGGGAGGGGGCGCTTAAATAATTTAGCAACTGCTTTAATGAGGAGCTGAAGGGAGTAATGGGTGCTGATGACTTTTGCACCGGGAACATGGAGGAAATGGGTTATGAAAGACATTCAGGGACCTCCATTCTGTAGTGAATAGTTGACGCTTTTGGTAGCTGAGATTTTAGCCGCTGGGAAGATTCAAGGACCTACTTTCTGGCCCGGATTAGCGAGGCCAGCCTGGTCTATACGGTGCACTGAAATTTCGTGTGAGAGGGAATACAGGAGAGGTAGAAATTATAACCACGTCTAATTTGTGTGATTATAGAGCCTGACTCGATAACTTAAGGCAGTTGTGGGAGGATTGGGAGCAAGACCTATATCTAGACTATTTAACAAGCCACCACTGCCCTTGTGGTAGGGAATTTACCACGCTCTAGTTAAACTGGGAGAACATTGATTCTGCAACTTGCGCCTATGTTGTTTGGGGCCCAGTGATAACTATAATACATTTGTCCCCTTTGAATTTAAACTGTTTCTCCAAATTGTTGTGCTCACTTTGAACACAATTTCTGTTTCCAGGAATGTTAGCAACTCCAGTATAAGTCAACCCTAAAATTAAAAAAGTTTTTTATTGTGTCATTCATGTCATTACAAAACTGTTGTCTAGCCAGCTCTCTCACCCATTCAAAGTTAGCTGACAATTTGATTCAAATTGAGAGTGATTTGTGATCATTACTTCCTGTTGCCGCTTCCACCCGTGACGTTCTGTGGGGCAGAGACCAGGTTTTACACAATTTCTATTCCTAGCAATGACCAAAGTGCTAGTAATTAGTGGGAGCTCAGTATGTATTTGTTGAATTAAATTCCCCAACAAGTGGTTATCTGCATTTCTATCTGCTCTGAAAGGGCAACATTTCTTCTTTTTTAGCCTAGGATCCCACTGGGATTCCTGGGATGAGGAGTGAAGGGAAAGTGAGCTCACCGTAGTGTTCATTCCTCAGTTATTTCACAGGGTTTCTACTGCTGTCTCTTCTGGGCACAAGAAGTCCCCATGAACTTTACTCTCCCTTCATCTTCTGCTCCCCTCCCCACCGAGATTTTTGCTATAGGGCACGTGCACTCACCAGAAAGACAGAGACAGAGCGATAGAAAGCGAGAAATCAGCCCCCTCCCCGGGGGGATGGCCACGTCACAATCCCTTCTCCTCCATTCTCCTCTCGGGATCTTGGGCACGCACACACATGCGCCCGGTGTGAGTTTAAGCCACCGGGTCCGGGATTCGAGCCGCGGTCGATTACATGGGAGTTCAGCGACATAGCCATTATGTTAACTGCTGGTCCCCCCTTCATCTTCTGCTTCATCTCTCAGACCCTGCTGGGCACTGCCGGCCATGAAAGATGAGGTGAGCTGGTAAAACTGGGCAACCATATGAAATATTTCCTCAAAAACTCTAGAACAGTGTTTTCTATGACATTCACTTTATTATTTTACATATTTTTTTGAGCTGGTGATCAGGGGAGCAATGTAACTATTCATATAATTAAATCTAAGGATGAGACAGACCGCTTGCTGCCAGGATAGCTCATAGAAAGGCAAAGACCCTATTTTTAAAGACCAAATGTTTCATGCACTTCTATATCTGACTTAGAAAATGATTTATTCCTCCTTTTGCAGGAATTAGTACTGAAATTAATATTAATCAATGGCAAGGAGGACTGGCGCAGAGGATGGGCCTATGATGGATGGTCACAGCCTCTCCCTGCTGTGAAGTCTCTTTCCTTTAGAAGTGACTATTTCCATTCCTTTCATGTATTTGCCTTGTTGGAAGACGCTGATTATGAGCTTTTTCAGACAGCCCTTACTTTATACTTGAGGACCAAAGAAGTTTAGCAATTTGCTCAAGCTCACATCACATAACTAGTTAGTCGCAGAGCTGGGCCTAGAGCCTTGGATCGTTTCCAAATCCAGTGTGTGCACTACTGTATCACACTGTGAAACTCTTCTGTTGATCACTGTGAGTACTTAATAAATACCAGATTTCTAACAGCAGCCTATTTGCTTCTGATTGCTGACTAGTTCACTTCAATTCATATTTATTTTAACGGAAAACCACTGCCTTCTGACAGCTAGTCTATTGTCTATAGGAAACGAGTTGGTGGGCACATTCTAGCCCTGTTGGACAGCAGAAGCCATCACAACAAATCAATGTCAAAAATGGTATTTTAGAAGGAACACATACCATTTATTTAGTACCCCCAGTGGAGTAGCTCAAAGTGATTTGAAAATGTCTCATTAATCCTCATGACACCCCATAGGGGGATAATAATAATATTATTATAATGTTTAAGTGTCGAACTATGGCAAAGGCAACAACTTCTCAAAGTATGTGGTGGATTTCCTTATATTTCAGTCTTCAATATTAGAGCCCAAGTGAAACCATGAGGTTTGCAAACAGCAAGGGTAAATCTTAGCGTTTGGTTTTTCTATGTTGCTCAGGCATAGCTTGGGTTTCTTACTGATCATGGCAGTACTAGAAATAGCTGACCAGTTGCTTGCCAGATGTTAAACAGCAGCTGGGATTAACCCAGAAGTGTTTGAGTGTGTATTTAAGACAGATCCAGAGATCCCAAGGTACAAATGAATGGAGAAAGGGTACCTACTATGTGCAAGGCATTGTTCTAGGTGCTGTGGGGATATGTAGGTTAAATATAGATCTTATCTTTAATAGGCTTATACAAAGTTTAAAAAATGGGATATAAATCCATGAACAAGTTTACAATATTGTTAGTTAACAGTATGTAACAATAGTACCAGAAAATATCACAAGATAGCCAACCTGGCTGCCTTGCTATTTTTCAATCATAC